TCTGCACTGAAAGGACACTGAGAGAATTATGGGAAAATGGGTATAATTTGAAACGGAGAGTTTGAGTCTTTTGGTTTGTCATATTTGAATGGAAATAACATTAAAATACAGACAAATGAAAAGCTCCAGGTGTTCTAAGAAATCATTGTGCTCACTGGAAAAGAAAAAGAAGGGAAACGAGTAGAACAGATAACTACTAGAAGCAAAGAAAGTCATTGGTATTTTACTATTACTATTATTATTAATTGCAAAGCTTATTGGTAATTAATAGCAAACATCTACAAATATGAAATTAAGTTATTGCAGTCAAAATATCACAGCAGGAAAACCAGCCTTATTTTTAGACCATTACACAAATATATCTGTAGTGTCCCCACTTGTTCCCATGCCAATCCCTTTCAGAAATAAATAAATAAATAGATTCATATATTCATAGCTTTTTAGGGCCAGAAGAGGCCATTGCAACCATCCTGGTTGAGTCTTTCCTGAGGACAGGCCTTATAATTTTATTCTTATGTCTGGACCATAACTTTTCTGAGCTACACTGTACCTTTTCAAGTTGCATATATTTTTGATTTAAACACTTTTAGTAACAGACAGTCCGCTATATTCATGGGTGAGTTGATTTGATTGTTAATTTCTGACATTTTTAAGTGTTTTGTTGCTGTTTCCATGCTGAAATCATCTAGATCCAACTCCAGGTCATGGGATTTTGAGTAGCTCTTTTCTGCCAAATCACAGAGCCACGAGCCTTCTATAAATAAGTGATGCTGTCCATCTGTAAAAGCTTTGCCCTTCTTCTCTAGTTCCTAAAATCACAAAAAAATTGTCACCAGGTTCACTCAGCCTCTTTATTTTACAACATCCAACACTCTTAGGCATCAAAGGAGTCAACATTCCAAAGCACCTCACCCCTACCTTAGCCCTGAAAGCACATGGCCTTCAGTTTGCTCTCTGCCTACAAAGTTTGTTAAGCACTTTGAGAGCTTTGGATGAAAACCATCTTATAAATGCACGTTATAGTACTGTCATTATTATTGAGTTGCCATTCTGTATTCTTTACAAAATTGTTTTAGCCTGCTGTAGCTCTTGGGTTTAATTTCTTGTCTTTAAACTAAAAGCCCCATTGAAAAAAGGAAGTAAGTATGAGCACATTAAAAATAATCTGAGTTTTCTGTATTATCATTATTATTACTGCAAGTTCATAGCTTACTGCTTATGACTCCAGCTCATCATGAGTGCTAAGAATGTGCAGCAACAACAGAGAGCATGTAAGTAAAGCAAGACTTGCAATACCACATGCTGAGCAAAAATATCAAAGGAAAAGCAGTTATTAGGTGGTGACCTGATTCTACTGTGTGGGTTGTTGTACTTCAGAATTTACTAGGCTTTGCACATGTGTGCTTAGGAAAGAGAAAGATCCCATCTACAGTTCCTGCTGACCCCATAGCTGTAAGGAATAGAGAGTACAAGGTGGAGACATCCACACTGAATCCAGAAATGCTGCCCCTGTAAGAACCAGGTGCACTGAGGTTGGCACCATCATGACTGCAAGGGCATGCCACAGGCAGGATCACAATGGGCAGGTTAAGCAGGATCTGAAGCTTTTAGCTGATAGCACCAGCATGACTTCATGAGAGGCAGCAAAGTGTGAAAGGTCTGAGGCATGCCCTGCATTGTGTGGTCCTCTGCTGTGAACACTGCATTCTTACTCTTACAGAAAGGGAAGACAAGGCAAGATTTTCCTAGTCATTGATAGCTGAAGTGGAGGCTCCCCACCACACATTTCCAGATACTTTTTTGGACCAGCAATACTGCTTGTGCAGCCATGGTGAAAGCGCTGTTTGGTTTCAAACCCAGCCCTTCTCCTGATCTAGTTGTCATGTGTCAGGAAAAGAGCTAAAAACGGATGTGCATCCATGGCCACAAGACAAACTTTCACCACCAGCTGGTTACAAGGTCAGACCCACAAAAGCATAGGTCCCATATGAGAAAATGTACTTTTGCTGAAAATAACACAACAAACCAGTGGCAGACATGGGAATAGATCATGTGTTTTCTGAGCCTTTGCCTAGTACACACAGACCACAAATAGAAAATGGTTAAATATTAAAAAAAAGTTTCTCTCTGAAGGCTCATATGGAAGGAGAAATTCCCTTTACCATCAGTTCTTTCTCATCCTTTCACTAAAATAAAGGGAAAGGAAATGGTATGTAGCCAGCTTGAACCTGATTCACTCCACATAAATTAAAAAGTATGTATACATTTTTACAGACAGACAACTGTTGATACCAATTTCAACACATCTGTAAAATCTACATACAAGTATATTTAGTGATGGAAAGGTGCTTACAGCTGCACCCTGAGCCAATACAGAATCACAGAATCACAGAATCCCAAGGGTTGGAAGGGACCTCAAGAGATCATCTGTCCAACCCCCCTGCAAGAGCAGGGTAACCTAGAGTACATCACACAGGAACTTGTCCAGGCAGGCCTTGAATATCTCCAATGTGGGAGACTCCACAACCCCCCTGGGCAACCTGTTCCAGTGCTCTGTCACTCTCACAGTAAAGAAGTTCTTCCTGATGTTAACGTGGAACCTTCTATGCTCCAGTTTACACCCATTGCCCCTTGTCCTATCACTGGATATCACTGAAAAAAGCCTAGCTCCACCCTCCTGACTCCCACCCGTTACATATTTGTAAACACTGATGAGGTCACCCCTCAGTCTCCTCTTCTCCAAGCTGAAGAGACCCAGCTCCTTCAGCCTCTCCTCATAAGGGAGGTGTTCCACTCCCTTAATCATCTTTGTGGCTCTGCGCTGGACTCTTTCAAGCAGTTCCCTGTCCTTCTTGAACTGAGGGGCCCAGAACTGGATGCAATATTCCAGATGTGGCCTAACCAAGGCAGAATAGAGGGGGAGGAGAACCTCTCTTGACCTACTAACCACACCCTTTCTAATGCACCCCAGGATGCCATTTGCCCTCTTGGCCACAAGGGCACATTGCTGGCTCATGGTCATCCTCCTATCCACCAGGACCCCCAGGTCCCTTTCCCCTTCGCTACTTTCCAGCAGGTCAGTCCCCAGCCTGTACTGGTACATGGGGTTGTTCTTCCCCAGATGCAAGACTCTACACTTGCCCTTGTTGAATTTCATCAAATTTCTCCCCGCCCAACTCTCCAGCCTGTCCAGGTCTTGCTGAATGGCAGCACAGCCTTCTGGTGTGTCAGCCACTCCTCCCAGTTTAGTGTCATCAGCGAACTTGCTGAGAATACACTCGGTTCCCTCATCCAGGTTGTTGATGAAAATATTAAACAGCACTACCAACAGTTCTTGAGCATGAACAACACTGAAATACAACATTTACAACACTGAATCAAAATATGGCCCCTCATATAATTTGCTTTAGGTCACCTAATTCTCAAACAGTTCCCAAAGGTCATGAATTAATGTAATTCAACAACTTACTTAATCTATTTCAAAGAGTTTGAATCAGGGTCAATGAATAGGCTTTAACACTTCATAGCTGGTCAGTGGAGGTCTTTTTTTGGCCTTCATGTGTAAAAATTCCCCAGCATTGCCATTATAGAAAAGATTAATTTTCTTCAACTTTAGCAATTAAAATGTTAGATATTTCACCGAAGTCAGTCATCTGGACGTAAGGTGAACATCCTCACAAGGGTTGTTTGCTCATCCTAAAATAAATTTCTAAAAGTAATAAGGTAAAGAGTCTCTGGAGAAACATTTCTTTTGCCTTTTAAATAGAAGGAGCCTAATTAAAGAGTCTGATTTAGCCAAAATGGCTAAACTGGCAGAAATGAATCTCATATCTAACTCTTTACATTCAATGGTTACTTAAATCTGTGTATACGACCTCACCAAAAGCTGCAGATCAAGCTGATTTTGTTCACCAGATAGGACCAGTAGTATTAATAATAATAATAATAATAATAATAATAATAATAATAATAATGCATTATATAACAACAGCAATAATAATAATAATAATAATAAAATTTTTTTAGGGTCACCATTGTTAGAAGCTAGTGAAAAGATGCATTAATAACAATAAAAAAATACAAGAGTTATATTACAGGAGGAAAACCCATTTGAAAAGCAACTCAGTGCAGTTGAACAAAAAAGGCTTAAAAGATTCAGGCTGGCCCCAGTGCAAATTATGTGATAACATCTTATGATTACTTTGTGTCTGACACAGTTTTAGCCTGGGATACAATCTGTCACTCTGGATTGCTACTGTGTGCTCTACACCAGGGAAAAATACATATCAGTAAAATTTACCATCTGTGTCGTTATGTGACTACATAAATTTCAATCTGAGCATATTTGTTAGTTTTAATTCCCAGATACTCTATTTCTCACTAAAGCTGTTATTCATATTAGCTTTTATTGTATAAGCCATACACTGTCTTTAGGGGTCTTCTTCAGAAGTTGGAAAAAATCTGAAACTTGTATTATTCACAAACTTCAGGTAAGGGTGTGCAATGCTTTTACCTAAATGCCTTTCCTAAAGTCATCCTTACAATTAAAATTGACATGGAGAGTTTAAGGATCACTAGCAGTTATGGTGGGTTAAAGCTTAACTGCTAATCACTCCCTCCCTGCCTCCCTCTCATTATGTCATACTTTCTGTTGGGTTGCCACTCTGTAAATATAATTTGATTAATCTTACCATGCTCTAATGCCTGCCTGTGAAGAGATACAGGCTGCAACATGAGGAATGTGGAAAAGTCAGTGAAGGTTTAATTGGATTAATCTCTGTGTTCTACATATACACTGGCAACTTTTGTGACAGCTTAGCTAACACGATAATACACAACAGAGGTATCTGGTATTCAGCAGGGTCCCACACCTTAGCTAGGGGGGATACACCTGGGAAAGCTTCAGTATGCAACAGAATAACAGGCAGCTGACAAAAACCCTGCTCTGATATTGTCACAAATTGCTGTATCTGAAGAGCATTATTTGATGAAACTCATACCCCATTTTTAGTGGTTCAAAGGAATGGCTTTCAGCTACAGGGTTCTGCCAGACATGAGCTCTGAACAGCACCTTGTTTCTTTCCCTAGGAAAAGCAAAATCACACTAAGAGATGGTCTGAAGGTGTTGGCAAAATTTCTGTGAAAGGAAGGGTGACACAGGTAAAGATCAATACTGAACAGGGTCTGATGACCAGGGTACTATGGTGTCCCTCAGGGTCCATAGTAGTCATCAGCAGATGAGATCAATACTGAACAGGACAGCATGAATCAGGGAGAAGCACCTGCCCCACTGGTTCCCAGGGAGCAACATGGATGTGGCTATACTGGGTGAGAAGGGAATACCTCCAGGACTCAACAGGGCCTTTGTTCCTCACTGTCAGGCAGGAGGAAAAAAGCCTGGTATATATGTATATATAATTTTTAATTTTGTTCAACAAATTGTTGACAACATGGGCAGTGGGATTGAGTGCGCCCTCAGAAAGTTTGTCGATGACACTAAGCTGTGTGGTTCGGTTGATACACTGGAAGGAAGGAATGCCATCCAGAGGGACCTTGACACGCTTATATATATACAGTGTTACATATATATACACATATGTGTATAGTATTACTATAGACATGAGCTAGGTGGATGAAAGCTTTTGCCACAAGAACAGCTCTGTCCCATTGTGTGACAAAGATTGCACTCCATCTTGCTCTTAGGACATCTTAAACTGTGCTATATCCCCCCTTAAAGACAACCCCTAATGAAAACATATCCATGCTAACCTTTGCAAAACTCGTGACAGTGTACCTACACAGTTCAGATTTTCTAATGTCATCTCATTTTGTAAAGACATGGAACTCAATTTCAGATTAAGTTTGCCATTTGACTGATTTAACTGTATCTGATCCATCGAAATGGATTGGCTCATTTTACGTTAAAAAGTACTGACTTCGTTGAACATAGTGTCCAGTTTTATTCCAGTCCATTTCAGACCTGCCTGAAGAGCTTGATACACAGACTAATATAAGTGACCTTATCTCCTTGTCCCAGGTGCATTATAGATTTCAGTTTCTCAGATTTTGATGAAGCTCATGTTCCTCTGTCTTGAAAAGATTCCCTAAATGATTTTGTCTTCTACAGGCACCAGTGGTTACAATGCACTACAGTCAGAGAAGCCAGAGAGGTTGAGATTCATCTCACTTCTGGAAATTTAAATGTTGCATATATAGAGAGCACTTATGGTCTTTCTCTTTGTTTGACAATCGTTTGGATGCCTTAGAACTTAGATGCTGCCAACTACAGGATGGGACTATGGGAGACTTCATGCTGCTGGACCAGACACTAGAGGCTAGGTGGTGTATCACCTTCTAGAGGTACCTGTCTTCCTCCTTTGATTATAGTCTAAGATGAATAGCCAAGCTGCATAGCTTTAATTCCCTTTTGTTACCTTTTGTACCTTAATGAGGCAATTATCACTCTATATTAATTCCCACAACCCAGAAACATTCCCACAGTGGGTACTACAATGAAAGTAAAATCTCTTATTTTAACTTCCAATACCATCAGTTCTGGTGCCCAGTGATCCAGACAGTATCTATAAAAGGAGTTGAAATACAATTAATATCTAAGCACAGCTGTGTCTTTATGATGTTGTGTAAGCACTTTCTTAAAGATGAATGAGGAAAAAACATACGTTGAAATCAGATCTCTCTCTGTTTCTGGTCCATGTTCCCCTCTCAGAATCAGTGAAACTGATTAGCTGCTTTAATGGGAAATTACCTCACTAGCTAACCAGTGTCAGGACCAGTTCTTTGGACCTGAATACACCTGTTATCTCTTAGCTGTATATACCATTAATTTCTCTTAATCTCCCAAAGATGATGACATGCATATACTTACCGAAAAGAGTACCTTTCTTGTGTTAATTCCCAAACAGTGTCCAGAAATGGTTTAGAAGAAGGTCAATAGCATGGGTCAAAAGCAGAATAGGTACCATACTACCAGTTTAAGAATGATTAAGATACTTTTTCATGTTTATTTAGTAACATTTTTACTTCCTAGTGTAGATGTGGCTGTATATTCACTATTGTAATAAGACTTATTTATTACTATGCAGCATGACTGCATATAATTGGCATGTAGGTCCCATCCTCATCAAAGCAGTTGTTATAACACTATTTAAGTGCAGGTTGTCATACCCCATAAGACAACAAATATCTTCTAGCCTAGAAAAGACATCAAACTTCTTTCAGTTCTGGGCCCTTGCTACTTTCTCAGCTTTCATGAACCTCTCGTGGTCTCTGGTTTTATGTCCTTTGGGATTTTCTTAATCTTTTCTCCAGCAGTTCTCCAGTTCCTGCCTCAGAGGTTTCTGTAATAACTTCTTACCTGAGACTCCTCGTTTTGTTGTCGTTGCTGTTGAACACAAACCAATACAGACTAAATCCGAAAGTTGTGCTATCAGTATAATGTAACCCAGGTAGAATATCAATCATAAATTTATAACAATTTAGATTAGAAGTAAATTCTGGCTATCATATAGTCCAACAAACCATCAAAACAAGTCTAACCAGTTCAGAGTGTTCTGGGTCATTAGTTCTCGTGTCTCAGTTCTTTACGCAGACTAATTCTGGTAGGTATTCTGTCTTTGAGCATGGACACAAAGGCATGTGAGGCATTTGCCTTATGACAGGAATTTGACAAAGTTGCTGAATTAGTAACACTAATCAACTTTCAGACAGAGGACCGCATTTGCTGACCAGTGAATCACAATTAGTTTGAGATTGCCTATTAGTCTTACATACAAATTTGAATATATGTGGTTTTGAAGACAACTTTACTGCACTGTGAATCAAGGCTGCACCTGCAATTTAGAAAAGGGGTGGTGGTGTGTAGAAAATGGCTGGCAACAGGCTTCAGAACACGAGACAACCACTTTCAACACCTGCATTCTCAGGCCTGTGTCCCTAATAACCCAAGAGTTTTGATCTTCTGAACATGAAAAGAGGTGTCCATTTTCACTCTTTCCCTGAAGAAAAGTGACTCAAGAACACTGGTTTCATATGGGTGAATAGGGTTTGTATTTTGTTGGGGTTTTTTTTTGTTTTGTTTGATTGTTGGGGTTTTTTTCATTGACCTCTTAACCTGTATACTAATTACAGGGAGAGAAATTTCATAGAAATGTGACTTTGGATAGAAATCCTGAACCAAACTACAATGGCAGTAATAACTTTGAGTTTACAGACATCCAGAAATTATGTGCGCATTGCACTTTTAGAAAATATATTACATGTGGGATAGCTTGTGTCCCTAGGGTGAGCATTCTGCTTCTTTTGTGACCCATAACTCAAGAGTGTGGCAGGCATTAGCACTTTACAAAACATCTTCATTCTTCAAGGCTGAAACAGAACCCGTAGCATACAGAGGATCTTACTTATTCAGCAGTGATTTGAGTCACTGTATTTTAAACACTAACTTTAATGTGGTCAGTATCCCAGATAGATGAAGGGTGGAAAAAAAGAGGCAGTGGAAATGTATCTAATTTTTTATTAAATACATCACTGTTGCTGTCTGACTTGTTGTACTGTAACGGGAAATTACACACCATAAAATGGTAAGAAGAATAGATCTGATGCATAATACAGGAGCCTGCCTGGAGAAGAATGCGTATCACATGAAACTGTAAATACATACATACAAATTCATACACGTTGGCACTTTGGGAAAACAGTTTTTTGCACCATGTCTCTTGAATCAAAAGAGGAAAATGCATTGATATATCTTTTTTTTATTTGCCCTATTCTCTCCTTTGCCAATATCAGAGGGCATCCCCTCATCTTTTTTTATCACAGTCACTAAAACATTAAAAAGAAGTGGTTTCTGTTGATACACAGAAATACCCTGAAACTTCTCCTGTTCCAGGGAAACAAGTAGGTTGGGCTTTAGCATCTAATGCTACTTCCTTGACATTTCTGTTTTAGGCCAAGATGCCAGAAAAACAACATCACTTCAAAGGAACCCTGTATTAGTTTAAGTTCTGAGGGAAGCTAAGTCAGTTTTGGTTCAAACATCAAACAAACTTAGGATGATCACTCTATAAAACACAAATGATACCTTTTCTCAGAATTTTCAGAATTGGACCTGGAAGAAAGTTTTTAATCAAAAGTTCTTTGAAAAAAATGAAGACTCTCAATGAATAATGAAATATTTCATGCTTTTGTTTTATTATTTTCACATTTCTAAGGCAGAAACCTTACCTTTTAGATACACAAAAAATATATGACCTTTATTTATTTATTTATTTATATTTATTTATATTCTGTATTTAGAAGACTTTTCAATTTAAGACAATACATATTTTATTTTTTATAAGTTTAAAAAGAATTGTCAGAAGTGAAATTAAAGCTTACTTATTTGAGTTGAAGAATTCAGTTTATTCAATTTCATTTGAAGTGAAACTTGCCTTTTTATTTTGCCATAATGTTATTTTCCTGAGGTAACACCCTTTATACATATATCAGCAAACTGCAAAAATCGACTTCTTGTCCACTCCTAAACTATTCGCCACTTTAGACTTTATATATTTGCTCTCTCATTATTATAGAATAATTTATTGAATTATTTCAATTATTGAATTATTGGATTCTTTTAAATTCTTTTCCATTATTGAATTTAATCCTGAACACTTGAAGACCTTGTGACTTCTCTGACAGGACTAGGAAATGCAAGAATATTCAGTATTTTGGTACTTGAAATGTCCTTTTGCATAGGTGCTTCATAGTTTATCTAGCAAAACAAGGTATCTCAGACTGGTGTCAGCAATTAACACCAAGGTGTCTGCAATTAAGAAAAGGCTGACTTTTTTCCCTTGTGATTTTTTTTAAAAGGATTTTTAGTTCTCAAGTGTTATTTGGTTTTAAATAGAAAACAAAATAAAATAAACCAAAGCAAAAGAACAACAAAAAAGAAACAACAAAACAAGCTGGTTTTGACAGTGGAAAATAACACTTTTTTTTTTTTTTAATTCAAAGAGGTGAACATTTTCCATAAGTATTCTCACTTTGAACAAGGAACCGATTTCATTCAAAGTTGTTTAAAGGGAAAACGTTCAGAGCAGTCTAAGCAGCTTTAGGTGACTGCGTTTCACTGATGGTTGAAGCAAACGCTTGAGAGACAACATGTTCATAAAGCTTTACAGGATCCTTGGCTAAGGCATCTGCTTCCTAAATATTAGATGCTAATGTTTAATGTTATTTTATCTTTGCTTTTTTCCCTTTCTTTGTTATAAATCAGAACCATGTATAAGAAATGCGCTCATATATTTGCAAACTGCATGGTTCAGTTCATGCTGGGATTGTGCAGCAACAGAATAGCTCAGCTTAGCTAT